GTTAAAGTATTAGAGTTTCTTGTATTAGTCAAAAAGTATTGTGTTAGTAAACGAGTATTGATAAATATAGGTATATCTAGGTAGGTATAAATATACAAATTGTAGAGATTTGTATAGATGAGTATAACTTTGCAAAGTTGGCAAAGTTATTTGTAGATTGAAAAGAAAAGTATAGATTATTATTAAATTTGAATAAAATGATATTTGATATAGAATCTATTACAAAAAGATAAATTTACAAAACCTAGTTCAATATCCAGTATATAGTTGGATATATAATGGAAAATTGTTACAAAAAGACAGATATACAATTCTCCTAAATATAAAAACTATAATGAAATAGATTATTGCAAAAAGATAGATATACAACTTTTATTTATTTATAGTCTGCAAGCTTTGAAAATGATACAGTGCAAAGTCATTACGAAAAAAACAGATTTATAATTTCAAATTGTATTTCTCTGATTTGAATCTGATATTTGTTCTTAATATACTGAAGGCAAGTGTTTCTATAAAAGCTTAGGTTTTTTCAAAGTTAATATCTTACTGATCTGTGAATCAATGATAAAATCAGAATTACTGATCAATATTGTTATCACTGTAGTAGTAATAAAATATTAATAATATTAACATGGTTTATCAGTGCGTCGCACATATCAGTGCCTTGCGCACTTTTTCACTATTTAATCATTTCAAAATATTATTCAATAATCACAACATATAAAATTAATTGAAACTATTCAGAATCTGATAAACTAAAGTCTTCTAAATCCTCCTGACAAGTTTGTATATTATAACCAGTTTTATTACAAGAGCCACAACAATGTAAAGTTAATTGTTCCCTATTTGAACTACCCCTCTTGAAGTATTCGTTGTATCGAATCTGATTATCTACATCGGTCTGTAATATAATATTATATCCATTTTATATACTAAGTATTCCTCCTTGATGAATTCGACTCTTTTTAGTTCTATAACATTTATTCAATGTCTCATTTGCCTTTCGAAAAATACGAATCTCAGCACTCATAAGTGTCATCTCATAAGCTAATATCTCTATATTCTTAGCTAAAGCTGTAATTGTTTCAAATATAGGTATAGGAGAGCTTCCTTGATGTTATACAATTCGATTTTTAACTAAGGTTGATTGCAAAAAAGCATTGTTCGAGTTGTGAAGTGTTTGAAAAACCCAAGGATCGAGCTTTATAGAGAAGGATCTGGTAGGCGTAGGTGTTTGTAATTTGATATCTAGCTTAGAAATAATAGCTTGAAGATCAAAGGGTATTAATCCAGCTCTGCGGAATTCAGATAATCCATTTTGAACAGTTATTGATTGTAGGTATACTGCTTTGAAGGCTATAAGGAATTCGACCTTGGTGATATGGTTGATATAAGCTTTAATATACCCTTCAATTTGTTAGCTATACGTTTGTTTTAAAATACTAAAATATCTGATATCGAGTGATTGAGTAATATGCAAAGAATAAGAAGGTAATGAAAAAGTTATAATATTATGTTCTTTGCAATATTCTTGAAATGTAATCGATTCATGGTTTTTGTGTCCATCTAATACTAGCATTTGATAACTACTTTGTTTTCGAGCAATAGTATGCTTATCGAAGTGTTTAATCCATTCTAAATCTATCTCATTGTTTGTCCATCCATTATTAATGATTTTAATCATTCAATCAAGTGGGAGATCACTTTCAGTATACCAATTCGAAAGGTGATTTTTGCCCTTAACTATGAAAAATGAAGGAATGCTTTCTTTTATATTATTGATACATACAATCACTGTAGCCTATTTTCGATTACCTGGCTGTATTGCTTTGTTTCTGTTATATTGTTTAGTATTAATTACAACCATCCTAGGGTATATAATATTTATTATAAAGCCTGTTTTATCGAAATTGTAGAAATTGTAATCGAGAATACCATATTTCGTCTGTATATTCGATACTAATCGAAACCACCTTTTAATAAACTTTGGATCTTTGCAAAAAGTTTTTTGGAAATCATAAATGTGATTAAAACGTATCTTTAATTCTGGCCGGTGTTGTACGAATCGATGCATCCAGAGCTTTCTAATGTGATGTATTCCACAAGTATCGAGAATATCATTCGCCATATCTTCCATATTATTCAATCGAGGGGTAAATCCTTGTATATCCATATCGAGGATATATTGAAGAATCACTTCTTTTTCTAATTTAGTTAATTTTTGAATTGGTGATCAATATTCCTATAGCGGGGTTAAACCGTTCATTCGATTCCGAAGTATTGTTTCAGAGACATTGTAAAGTTTAGCAGCACTCCAGCGATTCATTTTTTTTGATTTATTAATAGTTTTAATAGCTAAGATAATCCGAGCTTCTTTTGAAGTGTTATTCATTGTTGATTGTTGATTAAACGCGTGTTGAATTGAAGAGTTGCAAAATAGTGAAAAAGTGCGCGAGGCACTGATATGCGCGACGCACTGATAAACCACGTTATTATATTTTATATCTTTATATTGCCTTAAGAAACTAAACTATAGAGATGCTAATGCTAAATGATATATGCTCCGTGGTGGTCAAAGCGTCGCTTATTGCCCTAACCCGTAGCCCTACGGCTCACTATAGCTAAGTGAGTGATATTCAGATAGATATATTATTAGTTATAATAAATTATATAGAATTATATAAAGAATTAAGCTAGTAATAGTTATTTTGATTTATTATATACGTGATTGATTATTTCGTCGAGTATGTTCGGCGATCTTGAAGTCAAATTCATAATGTCAAACTTGAGTGTTACTGTAAATTTATTTCTTGCTAATCATATATACTAGTATATATTACATATCCTCAACTGTGTCTCCAATCAAAAGAGTTGCCCAACAGGACCCCAGGCCCTCATTCTTATATCTTTATCCTATGCCCAGTCGGCAGTTGCTTAAAAAGATAAGCCATACCAATAATGGGTAAAATAAACAGGGAATACTGGGTGCTGCCAGTGATAAATGATGCTGTGTGTAACCAGCTCCATCAATACATTCTGGACACTCTCTGGAAGACAATCGCTCCCCCTTTCGTCGAAATCCAGAAATCTTCGGCAAATTGGTAATCAAATCGCCAAGTATAATCCCCAATACGCAGATAAGAAAAGGAAAAATGTACTAGGTAATATTCTGAGGGCGTCGCCCGTGTAAAGAAGCGGACTGGCCGTAATGAATTCAGGGGCAGTGTTGTACGCTGTTTGAACCGAATCAACAGCTGCTGTGACTGATGCTGTCACTGCCGCTGTCACAGTATCTCTCGTAAGATATAGCAGCGGTGGAATTGATGGAAAAGCGACGCCAGATGAAAATGGCAAAGCACTTTGCATTGGAAGTGCGCTCAGCGTTGGATATCCCACAATGGATTCCGAATCTTCTAGCTTGACTCCCCGGAGGTATTCAGCTTCTCTTCGTCGTAGGGAATCGTGATTCGAGAGAGGAGATGCTGCTAAAAGGATGTTGTCGGCAACTCCAAAGCATTGAGTGATGGTATGATGTAGTGCGGTACCAAAATGAGCAGTATCGCATTGAGAATGTAGGCATTTGAAAACAGACTGCAGTTTGTAGGTTAGTATTCGATCTACTGGTAAAGTATTTAATGGTGGCTGTCTTGATCTTATGGTGTGACTGACGTTTTGATATTCGGCGTCATAGCAAAGACACATGTGTTTGTCTGTGCATTTACTGATATATTTCGTATTCTCCCAACAACGGATCGCACAACCTGCAGATAGGTGTTAGTGTGGTTATTGTACTCTCACTCTTCCAAAATATCCGTACCGGGAGCAGGAAAGTTTCCGTCACTTGCAACAGGACCATTCACTATTGCCATTGCCAATAAGATAGCAGGCCGCATATTTTACCTAGTAGTTGGCTACGGGTATATCCGGCCTCTGAAATCCTCAGAATGAGAGTCGCCAAAAGACCTTGGAGCGTTGCAAATTCTTTTAATAAGGATCGTGATATCAAGAAAACGTCTTAGTGAGTGTATGAGACTGATAAAGGAGGGACTTTTGTGCTGAGGTGGGCAGAACTAGAATTTGTTTGATGAGAATCAAATGGAGGGAAGTAAGAAAGCTCCATAACAGTAGCTGTCGGTGGATGGGGACTTCCTCTTGTGTAATCCAGCAGTTTAAACTTGCTACATCAAGCCAGAGTTACATGGGATATTTGCACCTTCCTCTGATCATGATCATCATCTCATATTAATATTGTCTTTGTATTTAACTTCGATTTGACGATTATAGTCAGTAAAAGAAAAGTTCCAACTTATCAGTAGAACCTTCATATCTATCTCTGAAAGGTTTCTGGCCAAGCCAGGTCGTTAAAGGTATTTGTGTCTCTTTCATTTCGAGTATGCCCCTCCTCTTCTGATCAATATGAGAAGCATCAATGACAATTCTCTCCAACCTGTCGACCGCAAGTGAACCTTCATCCATCAAGTCCTTCAATCTCTGAGGTGTACCGACAGCGATCCCGGTCCTGGAAGATTTGAGAAATCCTATTGAATCCTTCAGCTTGATATGTTTTGCGAACAACTTTGCAACTTTCACATCTTTGGTTTGGAATTTCCGTACAGCTCTATATGATTGTCAGATTAATATGAACCTATACGTTGTCGACGCTAGTTCCAATAACGAATTGAAGGAATATGACCATACCTAGCGATGTCGGCTGCTCTGAGACCCGCAGCAGTAACAATGATTGTATGCGGTGATCCATTCTTCTTCGATGCAGACCAAAGTTTTGTTGGATTACCAGAAAATTTCTCCAAGAACTCGGGCAGATTATCGAGAGTTCGTGGTTTCGTCCACGATGTAGTATCCTGAACAGCAGATACTATTCAAAGTGCCGAGACATTAGCGGACTTCATGAAGACATTGAGGAGTAGGTTTTACTCACCTGGCAAATATCGATCTTCTAATTCAACGGAACTGAGATCACTTTCATATCTCCTCGTCTGGCTCGAGACATAATCAACCAGTAAATGGTCATTCATTTTCGCAATCGCATTGTTGAGACCAGCTTCGACATCAACATCCTCGTTGTCGAAAGGATTGTACTTCCTTTTCTTCCCTGCTTCGTCAACTTTTTGTTTAGGAACCTCCTGATCATGATTTCCTCCTCGCTTTCTCTTCTTCGGACTGGTTTTGATAGACTTTTCAGGTCCAGATCGGGCTATTGGGACTTCCACTTCTTCTATCAAGGGATCTTGAAGTTCATTATCGATTGACATTATGGTCAGATGAGCCAGTATGAAATCTCGAAGCCGGAATAGAGGTCAATTGTATTATGTTCCTTTGTGAATTGAGGGTGGTGGTGTACACTTAAATTCAATTCTCAGCCTTTTGTTAATAGAGCATGTTAAGGCGCATCTTTGAAAGTTCTCACAAAATTTGAAATGCAATCGTAGATAACGCTAAGATAAGATAAGGCTGCAGCTTAGCGCGTCGATGTGTATTCTGGACGCGTTCATCTAATGTTTAACATGACGGAACCCTTACATAACTGCATCCTACATTTATCTCAAAGCTGGATGGCATTTTGTTCAATTCGAATGTCAGATTGATATCGCCATTTTATATATTTGTTATTCGGGAAACTCCATTACCATGACTGCAAGGCCGGAAACTCCTTTGCGCCGCATTTCTAGTGCTGGTTCATCTCCAGCAAGTCATTCGAGAACACCTAGCCGTAGCTTAATGCTGGGTGGCTCAGAGCTTAGGATTAATGCTTTGACACCTCATGGAAGGGCGGCTTTACGAGAAGTTGAGGCACGACGAGCAGGGCTGACCCCAGGAAAGGATAGAAGACGAAGTGGCAGACAGCAAAGAGAAACACCTCGAGATGTATTGAGGTTATTGAGCAGAACCTTGGCCCCCCAAACTCGCCCGACAGTTCCATCCCCTCAAAGAGCGCCCAGTAATTCTAGAAGGCAAACTTTGCTCTTAGACGATGATTTTGACGATGGCCCAAATCTTGTACCCCCTCGACTTTCAATACCCCTGGAAGACGAGAACGAGGAAGACGAGAACGAGGATGACGAAAGTCTTTTACTGCCGAGTCTAGCGGCCCTAGAGGACGAAAACTTGACTGCACGATCCATCGAGCTTCCAAGGAGAGCTGTCAGTGAACGTCCGAATAGGTTATCCTCAAGGGGTGGTTTCGGGAGTATACGTGAGAGCGACCGTTTCGGAAACATGTACGAGGCAGAGCTAGGGATAGACGACATGGAACCGAGCTTCTTAAATGGAAACGAATATGAGAATGAAGATTTTCCAGACATGGCAAACACCCCATTCTTCGGGAGGTGAGTCGTGGAGCATGCATGGATTGGGACAGTCCTCTTAAGCTGACGTACGCTAGTGACCACACAGGGATACAAGGAGAATTCGAGACTGGATCGCATCGACGCTCCCTTTTGCCAGGCCGAAGTAGTGATATTAGACCATCCAACTCGCCATCCGAGGATAGAGACGCAACATTTGTGTTCACAGTTCCGCAGCCGGAAATTTCAGTCCAACTTGAGCCGTCTCTATCCCCGGACACTACTCAAATTGGAGGTCCTGATATGAGTGTACACTCTCCACCCTCTGATAATATACAAGAAGATGGGTTTGCAATGAGCGAAGAAGTCATGAATGGCGACAATGACTTCCCAAGGTTGTCGTTCGGCACATTTGAAGACTCTCGTCTTAGCGACAATGAAGCCTCTAAGGTTATGCAGAAGGCCATATCTGAAACTTCGAAGAGAACATTACAGAAAAAGAACAACAAAGTTTCAAAACATGGGCTGAAATATTCGTCGTTGCCTCTAGCTGTGGTAAAGAAACAAGCCATGAATTTGGTAAGGAATAGAGCTAGTAAAGGAAGCAAGCTGAGTAGGGATACTCTTGATGCGATTATGCAAGCAACCGACTGGTTTTTCGAACAGATTAGTGATGATTTGGGCACGTATTCTGAACATGCTGGGCGAAAGACTATCGATGAGAGTGATGTTTCAATGCTGATGAGAAGGTATTTATCTGAACGTGATTTAAAACCTTTATACACGCTGAGTATTTTACAGACAACGCCAGACCAATGCTACAACGACGCCGTTTTCTCTTGCACAGAGCCGGTTACCTAGAGAGCTCTTACAAGATGTAAGAATGGTCCCACCATTGGCCTCAAGAGATCGACCACGGCAAAGACCATCCGGAAAATTAGAAAAAAATATACCCAATCTTTAAGACCATTCTTTGTTTTGACGAACTCGTCGAGCAATATCTGCAGGGGGTTTCTTTACGACCATCCATAGCATAACGGATGTAGCAGCAGCTAAGGCATACCTGATGGAATTATTTGCGTTAGTACACATGGCGAAGTTTTCTGGTGGCCAGTAAGTGCTTACCATGTAAATATGTACTGTGAATGGTTATTTCGGAGGTTGACCTCTGCTGGCCTTCCGATTGGAATTCCACGTGCAGCTCGATCCCAAGCCTTTAAGAGATCAGGCTCTTTGGTTTTGTAAGCTTTATGTTACTTGAATTGCAAGAAGTGAAAATCTTACCCATTGTCTCTTCAACCCAGACTGGTTGGCTTCCGCTTAGTTTCGCCATTTGCTCAACATCAGGAAAGTAAAATTCTTGAGTCTGTGGACTGTTATCTGGCGTGAAATAATTCTTCTTCCAAGGTTCACGCAGTAAACCCTCGACGGTTACTTCACCTTTCGGTAAACCGTCGGGCCTGCTTGCTTGCTTTTTATGCTTCTTTTCAATCCAACCTCGATTTACAAGAACACTGGTGCCCTTCCCATCCCGCTCCAAAGGTGTAATGACGAGATATCCGTCTTTCCCATCGTGCAAGCGAGGACCAATCAACATTTCTTGATCGTGTCTGAAATGACCCCTTGCGAATATTCTCCTGTAATCGAATTCTTTTATTGCTGAAGGATCAATATGTGGAGGAAGTGGTAAAGGATCACGAACGAGGCGATCCTCAAATTTCGCAATGAGCTTTGATTTCCAATCCAAACGCTGGACCTGCCATGTTCCCAAGGCGAAAGCTGTTATAGGGATCAAAGCTATCGACCACGTGAATTAGACAGTCTGGCCTTCTCCTGAGGATTGGGCAATTCGTGGCTTACCCAGAACAATAAGACCCGGACCATGCCTTCTTCCAGTACGAACCAGATTTGGGGGATTGTCTAATATAGATGTGAAATTGGGATCATCAGCAGCCTGTCTGGATTTGACCCGGGTGCTTGAGAAATATCGATGATATGTTGGGCACTTTGAGGTTGTAGATGAGAACGGTAACCTCTTAATATGCGATGAAAACGAATTAACACGATTGTAAGATAGGGCGGAGACAAGGAAACGCATATTAAATAGGATTAATGCATCAAATCAGACACCTCAAACTTTTTTTTTTTATTATCATATTTCTCCAGCTCTTTTATTATACAAGGTGTGGCGGCGTTGTGGCGTTGTGGCGTACACGTACATTTACACATTCTTCCAATCATATAATCCGCTCAGTTTATCAAGTATGATCTACAGCTAGACCAAATGCGGCTGGACCCAACCTCAGTAGTAGGTACTCTTTGATTATTATAGATTATATAAGCAAGGCTAATACTGCACTACGATAATTAAGTAATTTACCTCCATATCCCACCTGCTCGCTCGTACCTAGACTTCTAGAGCAGGCTCTCACACGGCCTTCATACCGGTATTGATACATATTGACTCTTGAGAGACCCGATTCTCCTCCACCTTTACAACTTTAAATACGAGACGAGATACAGTACTTGATATCTTCGGTACATGATGGCTTCGACAATGTTTCATATCGATGATCTTAATAGCGGCATCAATAAGGCTCTAGCTGAATCTAAACTCGTTGCATGTTTTGTAACAAGTAAATAATATCCTTCCCATATTCTACATCAGTTCAACATAATGACAAGGTGTCCAATTTAGATGGTAATGAAGAAAGTCGACTCTGGGAGAATGACTTCTTACAAGATCCCGAGGTAATTTAGGGGCCTAAAATCATCCTAGGTTGATACTACTCGAGTATAGCATGCTGAGTTGCTGTCTAGTTAAACTCTCAGCTGCAAGAAAGAACAGTTCTGTTGCGCCTGGTTGCTGGTTCTGAAGAAGCTAACTATCTTGCTGCAATCTTCCCGATTCCAAAGGTACCAACTCTTGTTGCTATTTGGTAAGCACATTTAAACCATTTCATTTTCTATTCAATCTATGTCAACGTCTACGAAAAGAGGACATGTGACCAAATTTGGCATATTCAAGCCGTGAATTAAAAATGCAAGCTAGGCTGGAACATTGATTATTCATTGTTCATATTGAAGTAAAATAATACCATCTCAGATACCAATTCTCGTCACCGCTTTCGCCGACAGGGAGGTCAATCTTCTTCTTACTCTCCGATCGCGTACATCGTTGATCTGCTTGCTTGCCTGCTTTCACCCAAGTATTCATCCTCTTGCTAGCGTGGACTGACTTTTGGGCCAATAGGAATGGGGAACTTAAAGAATATCTGGCTGCAGGTATAACCAAAGACGAGTTCTTGACACGACTTGGCAAGGCCTTAGAGTCTGCAAATAGTCGGAGAAATGTGGAGAATGACCGCTTCATAGCATCGAATGGAACGAGAAATCCAGAACAGCGTACGACAGAAGGCCAGGATCAACGTTCGTCAGGTAGTTCACCCGCTGGCGATCGGAACATTGGCTCCACACCTGCTTTCCAATCTACTCATTCTAATCCTGTTGACCCATCGAGTTCTGGCTCGCTTCCTATAGATCCTAGGGGTAATATACCCAAAGATAACAAGGCCATTGTGGAAGATCACCCTAAACATCCAAATCAAACGGGAGACACCACAAGTTATGCGGCGATGCAAAAGAAGCTCCAGCAAGAAGCTAGAGAAGAGCGAGCGCGTATCCTCGCACTTGTAGAGAGTGACAAAGCAAGAAGACGAAAGAATGCAGAACGCAAAGCTAAGAATGGCGATCAATTGATTGACCAGTCTACACTATTCCGCGAAAAAACCTCATCCGCTCTAACTCCAGCATCAGAGGTACAAGATTGTGCTTTACAGATAAGACTTTTCGATGGATCTTCCATTCGTTCCAGATTCTCCAATGCCACTACTCTAAGTGGCGACGTTAGAAAGGTAATATGAGAGACCTAAAAATACATCAATAACACATCAATAACACATTTTCGACTATTCTAACACCCAAACACTCACCAATTGTTAAGATCCCCAAGGATATTGGCAATACTGACAATAATTAGTGGATCGATGATTACCAAAAGGACGACGTGCCTTATATATTCAAGCAGATTTGCACACCCTTACCGAACAGAACCCTTTCGATGACAGATGAAAGTCGCGATTTGACATCGTTAGGTCTATACCCAAGCGCAACGTAAGAAAAATCTCATTTGTTAGGCCTACACAAAAAAAAAGAACTAACATGGAGATAACAGACTCATCATCGTTCCGGTTCAAGCATATACTTCAGCCTATGAAGCAACGGAGCCAAGTAGCATCTTGTCCAGAGGAATCGCTGCGGGATACAGCTTCGGCACTTGGGGCATTGATAGGATGCTTGCCACTCTTGGTGGAATCGTTGGCGGGACGGCCGTTGCTCCAGATACAGACCAGAGAGCTGAACCTGGCACATCAGCTGTAGATGGTCGTGCGTCAAGCCTCAGCACTCTCAGAGATCGGAATGATAACGACGATCACCGTGAATTTTACAATGGGAATACCGTGAGTTAAGGCACAGTTATAGTGGCCACACTGCAACAACAATGCTAATAGTGAGAACAGTTGAATTTCGAACCTCGGAAAGATGACCCTCATGGGGATCATTGATCCGTGAAGGATGTTTAGCTTCATGTAGGAACGATCATGTAGGCCTGCCATCAACATTATTGGGCATGCGTGATTGAGATTTAGCCAGAGATGTGTGGTCTAGATCACGATACGACATAGATATCTACCTACTGATTCGATATGTGCTCTTAAGTGGATGCGTTAGTGATGAAAATATCAATACGAGGAGTTTTTACAGGATTGGCTTTTCAAGTCAGACACTCATACAAACCGTGGAATCACGCTCGAAAGCAAATGGTCGATTCTATTGGGCTGGAGATATAAATAGACCGACGGAAAGCATAACAACCAACGAGGCGGTCACTGGTCTTCTTCTCAAACTGAATATAGTCAACCAAAAAAAAGAGCGTTCGTGGGTAAGTAGAATAATGATTTCCAAATTTATATCCAGTAATGTGTATAATCGCTTGAATAGTTGAATTTGATTAAAGTGGATTGATATATCAATCGATCAGGCCCAAAAATACGCATTATGGCGCAGCTGCAGCTAGAACATGCGCCAGTGAATCGATTGTGAAACTTAGCCATGACCCTCTCCTACTACACCTCATATCTCCCTCTCTCCGCCCTAGCTCCCTTTCACAATTGTCTCGCATCTTAAGCAAGCTTCATGGCACTCTTCCTGTCTGGACCGAACCCGCCAAGGAGATATGCTGACCGTGTTAAGAACAAGAATAGCTGCTAAGCGTTAGGCACTGAATTATACTGGTACATTTGGAGTTATTTTCTTGAGAGGCCTTACCGTTGCTCCTATGTTTCCAAAAGTCATTGAATTCCATTGCGCAAAATCCACGACCCTTTCCCACCCCAAAATATGATAGGTAACAGCAAGATGGCCAACATCAGCCAGCCACAAAGCAATGAGATAATTCCTAACAACCTTTGCCTCTCGTGTACTGTAAAGGACGGCGATTCCTATCATGGCTAACAGCAGATATATATTGCCCAATTGTAGGGCAACAAGCCGCGCATTATCACTGACAGCTCCACGGGGTGAAAACGCAATCTGTTCCTCAATAAACCACTCTGGGGAGATTATTGCGCCTATGAAACCAGCCACACTATGAATCAATGAGTTTGATGATACCGAGATCGCATTTGCAAACTTACAGTGAAACAGGCTCAAAAACAGTGAAGATAAATTTAGGAAAAGGGGGCAAGATTGAGGTCATATTCGCTGATTGTTGTATGAGATATTGTGAGGGATCACAAGCAGGGAATAGGCCGGATAATATCAGTACTATAGTTGGGGTATAGTTTGTACAGAACTGAATTTATACCATTGCTAAAGTGGTATAAGGGTAATTCTTTATATATTTCAATACAAATTAATTAATAAAAAACAAAGGGTATAAAAGGATAATCTATATCCTTTTATATCCACACTTTTCTAATTAATCCCTGGAAAAGGATTAATCTCTATACAGTAATATAATACCTCTTTTAATAACTATATCCTTATAGTTTTGATTTATATCATTTATAAATAATTACTTTAGAAAGTTTTTATAACAATAATATATTACTATACTCTTTTTAAAAATAATAAATAATAATAATAATAACAAACTTTTTCTAATAATATAGTTTCTTTAAAATTTCCTATATTTAATTCTAATACATTCCTTTTCAATTTCTATTTTACAATTTTATCAATATAACCACATTACAAGCAAATCTTTTTGTATATTTTTGTGTTTTTACTATAAACGACTTTCCTATTTATTTATATTGTTTTTAATATCTCAAATGTTTTTATCTAAACTCTAATTATATATATGAAATGGAGAAAAATTCGTTTAATTATAAATATTATAATACTTAGAAAGATTAATATAAGAAAATAAATAATTCGGAATTAATTCAATTAAATTTTATTTAATTTTCAATAATAAATTTTATAAATCTCTTATTTTTAATAAAATAGATTATTATTTATATTGATATATATTTGAATTGAAAAAAGATTAATATTAAATTATCAAAAAAATAACTAGTAAAAGAATGATTTCAGTAATAATATAAATTATTAGATTGACTTTTTTCTATATTATTTATAAACTTCGATATTATTTATAAGAATAGAATCCGAAAAGACTAAGATTTCAATTATTAGAAAATTAAAATGTTATACAAATAATAAATAATATTAATCTAGAAATAGTCTAATTAAATAATAGAATCTTTATTCCATCTTTAAAAGTTCCTAAAGAAATTGAGAGATTTATCCCGAATAATGATAAAAAAAAGATTTATTATCTTTCAAACAAGATGTATTGTATCAAATGAATTCTTTAATTAAAAAACTT